AAATGACTGATAGGCTGAACAAAGGCCCCTAAGAAACCTGGGTTCTATTTCCACAGCCCTCAGCTGCTGCTTGCATGGAAAAGAGAACTTTGCAAATGTGATTAAAGTTGAAGATTTAGGGCTGGAGAGATGGCCCAAGGATTAAGAGTACGTACTGTTCTTGCGGAGGACTTGAATTTGGTTTACAACACTCACATTAGGCAGCTCTCAACTGCTGTAACTCCAGCTCCAGAGGATCAAACACCCTCTTCTGGAATCCTCGGGCACCTGCACTCACATATGCATATACATGCACCATGCGTGTGCACAATTAGAACTAAATCTTTAAAAAAAAAAAAAGAAAAGTTTAATTTGAGGATTTGGTGATGGTAAGTTAGACCAGGATCACAGAAAGTTCTCATGTAGACTCTTATGAACAGGGCACAAAGGGAGTCTTCAGAGTAGACTCCATGCCTTCAAAACCTTAGATTGTAGTGTAGATAGAGGATGATGCCATGAGCCAAGGAGGGCAGGCAAGGCTAGACCAGGACTCCTCCTAGAGTCTCAGAGTTGCTAAAACCTTGATTTTCTTCTCACAGAACTCACAGGCGACTTCTGAGGGGCCAGGCAGCGGATTAGTAGTGGGATTCTCGCCTAGCATGCACAAGTGTCGGGTTACACTCCTAGCCCCCCTTCAAGAAACACCCTAGCCTTTAGAACTAGAAGATAATAAATTTTATTATCTCAGCAACTGAGCTTTTGGTAATTTGATACAGCAGCTGTAGGGAACTAATACAGCAGTAAAGTGTGTCACAGTCACTCTTTCTGTGATTTGTGATTTTTAACAATAATTTTAATAGAAGAATAAATTTTCATTTAAAGAATCAAATTCAATAAAATATTTCATGTATGCACTAAAATTTGCATTTACAAAACATAAATATTTCTCGCCACAGTCCATGCTGTTTCATTGTTTTAAAGTTGAAACAGAAATAAAAGCTATGTGTGCTCCTACAGATTGATGGGATCGGAGCCAAGCTCTGTTTCTTCGATGATGCCAGCACTGTGCGGTCGTAGTTCATTTCCACTCTGCTGTCTAAATGTAGGGGAATGGGAGTCGGCCAGGGGAGGACATATAAAGACACCTAGGGCCTGAGATAGAGCCCCTTGCCACAAAAACCTGTCCTGAATGAAATCCCAGGAACCCATGTACAAAGTGGATGTGGTGACGCATATCTATAAACCCAGCACTCCTGCAGCAAGATGGGAGACAGAGACAGGGGGACTCCCCGAAATCTCTGAGGCCAGCCCAGAGTACACGGCACACAGGCAGAAACGAGAGACCCTTCTTCAATAAGGTGGGAAGGAGAGAACCAACTCCTGAAAGTTGTCCTTTGACCTCCATATGTACACCCGAGTGCTCGTGCCTGCACATATACACACACACACACAAATAAATGCTTTAAAAATTGTTTACTTTTGTTTTGTTTTTCAGAAAGGGTCTCACTGGTGCTTCCCTGGCCAGCCTAGAACTTGCTGTATAAACTAGTCTGTCCCAGAACTCACAGAGATCCACCTGCTTCTGCCTCCCCAGTGTCGAGATTAAAGGAGTGAGCCTTCATGCCTGGCTCTGTGTGTGTGTGTGTGTGTGTTTGTGTGTGTGTGCATATGTGTGGACGTGTGTAGGTGCCCATGGAGCCCAAAAGAGAGTGTCAGATCTTTTGAAGCTGGAATTACAAGCAGTTATGATTTGCCCAGCATGAGTGCTGGGAACCAAATTCTGGTCTTTGCAAAAGCAGCCAGTGTTCTTAACTATTGAGCCATCTCTCCAGTCTCAACAAATATTTTTTAAAGGCAGTCAGGGTAATCCTGAACAGTCTCAAACCATAAGGAATTGCTTTCCAAAAGAATGCAAAGAACCATTCTGGTGACAGGGGTCAAAGATACATCATTTTAAAAGTGTGTTCATTTGAAGCTTACATTAAGACTCCACAGTGACATAACATGTTTCAGTGTAAACAACTGATGTCCATCAGACTTGGTCAGTGTTAAGGTGTGTGGTGTTTAATAAAGAGCAGACTAGTTTCCATGAGTTTTATTATTGTTTTGAAACTCGCCCTGGGTACTCTGTGTTCTCACTGCCAGCATGTGGAAAGGACAGCTCCTGTGCCTGCCCTGGTACCACACTGGTTTCTCGCTGTCCAGGAAGAAGGAAGGGTGTTCTCTTGGCTCAGAAGCTAAGCTTTCCTTTGACTCTTGGTTGCCAGGGGTCCAGGGGAACATCCAGGGCAGTGGTGGGGCTCTGGTGGCCGTGATGAGAGAACATGTGGGCAGGAGGTCAGAGGAAGAGGAAATTCCATGAGAAAGCCCGAGCCCTTCATAAGCAGAAAGCTGCAGAGATCCTTCTTCTGCCCTACACTGAGCAACCTGCAGAGGATCTATGGGAAGGATCAGCTGATCTCCCAGCAGCAAATGGGTCCCTGTGCAGCCCCTTCTTCAGGGAGCACTCAGCCTGCTGAGCCCAGCCTCCCTGATGGCCCTGCTGAGGCCACCAACTCTTAGATGCCACATATAGGCCTACCTAGAGGAACAGGCCTCAACCAGGAGCTCCTGTCATGGGCCACTTGCTTCTGGTTGACCCTGGGAACCAGGGCATCTGGCTGTCTCCAGGCATGTGGCAGGCCTGAGGAAGGATGAAGTCACCAGGAAGCAGGAACAAGGAGGACAGGAGGACAGGCCGCTCTGCCCAGCATCACCACCTGGCTTCTCCTCTGCAGCGTGCATGTTAGTCGTCACACTCACCACAGCCACTCCCTGTCTCCATAGTGCTCCAAACGTGGGTGGCTTCCTGGTAAAACCAGGGAGGCACCTGTGGGCTTCCTGAACTGGGGACCTGCAGGGCTATAGGATGCACTGGAAGGCCTTGCCAGCAAGCAGCATGACGCTGCACCTGCCCAAGAAAGCCAGTTAGGCCACCATTCTCCCTAAGACAGGGCTTCTTGGTACATCAAATGGCACCTCATCATCTCACCATGTCATCATCCTGAACCCCTTCCCCTGGCACTCCATCCCTCAACCGGGAAGGGTCTTTGCACACCCCTTATGCTTTTAAATTTACACTGATTTGCCCCCCTTCTTGTGTGTGTGTGTGTGCGTGCGCGCGCGCGCGCGCGCGCGCGCACGTGCGCGCGCACATAATCTTGTATAATATTAACAGGACCAGCCTTAATATTATACATCCCAGGTGCGCTCAGGAGAGAGAACTACTAACGGCGAGGACTATTTTCAGGAAATAGAATCTCAGCACACCGAGCTCTATAGTCCACTTGCTTTAATTCCTCCTTTAATAACATCCTTTATACCCAGCTTCAGTTCTGTTCTCGTGCCTAGCTCCTTTCTTGCCTGATTTCTCTCTATACTTATCTATTGCTCCCTCTAAGTTCTATCTTAATTCTCCATCTTAACTCTGCTTCATCTAGGTCCTTTTCATCTTGTTCTTAGCCAGCTAGTACTTCCCCATCTGGCTCTTCCTCATCTTCCATCTCATTCCTCTAGTACTCTCTTCTAGCCCTTCAATCTAGTTCTTCCCATCTCAGTTTGTTCCTCTCAAGTTCTTACCTATCTAGTTCTTCCATTCTCCTTTCTCTTCTCTGTCCCCTTACGTGCCCTGGAAGTCCCGGTACAAAAAGGGAGGGTCTGAGCTAAATTGTGTAAAGCTATTTACTTAACATCCACCTCACCTGGGCAGTGTCTCCTTGTGGAATTTACCTTAAGTCAGGAGACTTGCATGTGGGCTGCTATCACTGTTAGTCCTCGGAAGTTGGGCCCCCCCCCCCCCCCCCCCCCCCCCGGCGGTGTCTCCTGTTAGTCCTTGAAAGTGGCTAAGGGAGATAATCTGATTTCTCTGATAATCAGAGAAAGCCTTTCCTGAGGCAGTTCTCCAATTCCTGGAATGTGTATGTCTAAAGAGTGATCAGTCCACACTGTTAGCCCTTCTAAGGGAAAAGTCAATTGGGAAAACTATGAAGGCACACATGAATTTCCTAACAGAACACAGCTGATATATAACAAGCCAAATAACACCAAAAACTCCTTGGAATTTGGCTTCCTCTGGAGGAATTCCCTGATCCCTCCAGGTAGTGACTTTGCTATAACCAGCTGAGTTCTTATGATATATTCCTGCGGCCCGCAGCACTATAACACATATGTGGAGCTCAGATGACTTTTAAGAGTCAGTTCTCTTCTACCACGTGGGTCCTGACTAGGGTTGTCTGGCTTTTACCCATTGAATCACCTTGCCAAGCTTTGGCCTATTCAGTTTGATTTTAGGGAAAAGGTCTCCAGATGTAACTCAGGCTGCCCTAGCACTCACTATGTAGGCTGGCCTCAAACTCAGCAATCCTCCTTCCCCAGCCTCCCCAGTGCTGAAATTATGAACAAGAGCTGCCACTCCAGCCATAGCTTTGGCCTTTGACCAGGAGCTTTCTGGAGAGGTAACGACTTTCAGTAGTGCCCCTGGGGAGTCATTTAGAGGCTTTAGGGGCTATTCTAGGGGTCACCAGGACCAGCGCTCCATTCTGAATTGTGCTGGAGTGAGAACTGGGTGGGATGGGGAGTGGTGGGCAGGAGTATTTCCCACCCTGTCGGAATGCAAATCACTGGCAGCTGAGATGAACGATCCTGCAGGATGGCAGGCAGGGTTCCCAGTGGGAGACATTTGTCATTTCCACTCTCCAGCAAGACCCCCCCACCCCCACCCCGCCTCTGCCATCCCTCCTCTCCTCCCTCCCATCCTCTGCCATCCCTTCTCCCCCTCCCTCCCATCCAGGTAGCTCCAGCAGGCACAGGTGCCCCAGACAAACAAAGGCAGCTCCCTGCCCCCATCTTCTCCTGTCAGAGGAGACTCTGTCTGGCCTGGTGCCACCTTGGATGTGGATTGCCCAGACTGTGCACAGGACAGCACCTCTTGGGCATAAGGCAATGGCCCTTTGTCTCTTCAGGGATAATACGAAGCCTCATACCTCTCTCCTCTGTGGGCTTCCCGGCTAATTGGCAAGTGTGTGCTCTGTGGCTGTGCAGCTAAGATTTTCCATGATGTCAGCAGAGCTCCAAGGTGCCTGGATTCAACCATCAGACACAGAGCGGGGAGGGAAGTGTCGGGCCTGGTTGTGTTACAGTGAGAATTAGCATCCTGCTTGCCCCTCTCCCGCTGCTGTAGAAATGGCTGATGAAGGGATAGCTGGGTGAATCTCCCTGAGACTGTGACGTTGCCAGAAATCCAACACAAACCATCCGGGCATCTCCTGTTCGGAGCTCCTCATCTTGAGAGCAGAAAATGGAGAGCATCACACACAGGACAGGACTCAAGTGTTCCAGACCAAGTGCCAAGAAGTAACATTTCACAAAGTCTGAATGAGAAGCCTTTCCTCAGTCCTGGGGACCCTTCCTCAGTCCTGGGGAACTGCTCCACCTGGCCAGCTGCCTTCCAGTGCTTGGAGCTGATTCCCCAGTGATGTTGAGCTGGGCTAGTGCATCATACCCTCCTCCCTCTCCCTCCCCCTCCTCTTCCCACCCATCCTACCCTTCCTTCCTCAAAGCCGGCCTCCACACTGGGGGCCCAACACGCATTTCCCTGCTGAATGAAAAAGCAAGCACAGAAAGTTCCTTGTAGGACTGAGGCAGGGCAGAAAGACAGAAAATATAAAAGGGTATGAGGAGAAAAAGAAGGCCTGGGGAACTAGCTTGCACTTCCTGCTGAATGAAAGTCAAGAAATTTCAGCATGTGCCTGTCAAGACGCTCAGCAGGTGAAGACACTTGCCTCCAGTCCTGGAGGCTTCAGTTCAGTCCCTGGGACCCACACAGTGGAAGGAGAGAATTGGCTCCTACAAGGTGCCGTCTGACCTCCACACGTGGGCTGTGGCACATACACGCACACATATAAATTAATACATCAATAAATGTGATTTTAAAAGAGGAAGAAGAAAACTTCAACATAACCGATAAGCCAGAATTGCCTCTAGAGAGAAACCCAAAGACTTCTCCAACATGGATGCTAAGAATAACAAATTAGGACCACAAAGTTGAACTCTGACCTCCTAAACCAGTCCAGTGACATACCCACACCCACACACTAGTCAGTACAACTTTAAAACAATGTTTAATTTAAAAAATGAACTATGCCTACTTAGGGCTACAGCGTTGGCAACCTTGAGTTTAACTGTGCCAGCAAGCCTCTTTTCCTAAACCCAAAAATGCACCCCAGAAAACGGCTGGAACTCACTCTGTAGATCAAGCTGGCCTTGAACTCAGAGATTCCCCTGCTTCTGCCTCCTGAGTGCTGGGATTAAAGGCATGCGCCACCACAGCCCGGCTTAGTTTTTCATTTATTTTATTTATTTATTTATTTTTGCTTATGAGTATCTGGGAGGGGGGATGTGTATGTGGGAGGGACATGTGCATGTGGGCGGGGCATGCACATGTTGGAGGAGTATGTGCATGTGGGAGGAACATTGCATGTGAGAGGGGCATTACATGTTGGGGGGGCATTGTGAGGGACATGTGCATGTGAGAAGGGCATGTGCTTGTGGGGAGACATGTTCATGTGGGGGGCATGAGCATGTGGGAGGGGCATGTGCATGTGGGAGGGGCATGTGCATGTGAGCGCAGGTGCTTGTGGAAGTTAGAGGTATCAAATCCCCTGAATCTAGAGTCACAGGCAGTTGTGAGCCATCTGACTTGGTGCTGAGAACTGACCTTGGGTTCTCTGTAAGAGTAGCAAGCGCCCTTAACTAACCCATTTCTCCAGCCCTGAAATGTTACTTAATTTTTAAACTTTGCTTAATCTTTAAGCCATGTGGTAAATTACATCTTACATCTTTTCTTTTTTCTTTCTTTTTTAAACAGGGTCTCCCTGGCTGTCCTGGAATTCACTATGTAGACCCATCAGCCTCTGCCCGCTGAGTGCTGGGATTAAAGGCGTGCACCCCCACACTGCATGTACAGAGCATGTGACTTACACCCTTTGAACAATGTAATTTAGTAAGTCACAGAACTACATAGAGTGCTGTTTTAAAGACACATCTCTTGAGAAATCTTCTGAGAAGTATACGCCCATGACTTGGACCGAATACTGTGCCCTTAAATCTAAGGCATGGTCCCATCTTTAACTCTGTTTAATAAACTGGCTTTGCTTCCTGTTGCTTTGTCCTCAAATTCTTTTCTGTGGTTTAAGCAAGGACCTGGCTTTATCTGAGTGGTATCCCTAAGCTCCTCGGGCTGCTGGCAGGCCTGACAAGCTATGTGTCCCCGCTGCCCTGACAGAAGCAATACACACTCAGTTCTGGAAAGAGTTAAAGTTCTTCGTCAGTGTTGGGGTTGAAGCACATGCCTCCCTTTGGCCTTTACTTCCCTTTACATTTACCACCATCCCGTCAAAGTCTACTTATTGAACATTTGCTATGCACCGTGGGCTGCTGGTGAGTGTGAACTGTGAACTATGGGCTCTGTTGACTGACTTGTCATCACCAAGGGCTCCCAGAAAAGCTGGTTCAGTGCTGTGTGCCTTAACCCCAGCCTCCCTGGAGCAGTCTATCCAAACTGGGGAGCGCTAGGTTCAGTGAGGGACTCTGTCTCAAAAAATAAGGTGGAAGGTAATTGTGGAGGACACCCAGTGTTGAACTTTGGTTTGCACACACACACACACACACACACACACACACACACACACACACACACACGCATGCAACTACACGCATGCACACACATGGACATACACACAAGGGGTGGGGGGGCAGGAAGGAAGGGTGCAGACCCAGTCTGTGAGCCAGGTTGGGAGCTTGACTCTGACCCGCCCTCATGTTCTGTCTCTTACTTTCTTCCGGCCTGCGTCTGAAAGCCCTTCTTGCCTGTGTCTCCCCTTTTGTCAATGAACAATCCCAAGCTCCTGAATTAATGAAGGACGCTGAATCTATTCCTTTCTTTCTAGGTTTGGCTCTTCCCAACACGGGCTTCCTCTGCTGGAGAGAAGGCCTTGCCACACCCCACCACCTGCCCCAGCTCCCTCTGGCCCATCCCAGTCTCCTCTCCAGCCTGATGAATCCTCGCCCTGCTGACATCCCACAGCCCTGGTCCCACACTCCACTCCATGGGGATCATGATGACTTTGTCAGCTCAGTGGCCTGAAGAGAGATGGGATGAGGGTGCACTGAGAACAGGGAGGAGGGGTTCCTTCAGTAAATGCAGATGTTTTTAAATCACTGTAATTAACTGGAATGGATACTGTGAATTGGAAGCATAAAAGCTAAATGGGCTTTTAACTATTTGTCATATACTTCAAGGGGTCATTGGAGAATAGAACATGGGGACGTGTTCCTGCTTTCTTCACAGTTGCTTTTGCCTGGTAAGTGTTGGGCAGATGTACACACACACACACACACACACACACACACACACACACACACACACACACACTCTCCCTCTGTCTCATACTCACATAGGAACACTCAGCACACATACCCTCCACTGTCTGTAATGTCTTTCTCTCTCACACTCAGCAGGACTGCCCTGAGGCAGTCTCAGCAACAAAAAAGAAACCGAGTACCACAAGCACAGGCTGGAAAAGTCTAACTTTGACCTCCTTGGAAAATTTGCTCAGAGGCCCTAGGGTCTTCTTGTCCCTGAGTTATATGGGGAAAGGGGGTGTGGGGGGCATGGCTTCTCGGGGGACAAACCCACCCAAGCTTGACCACTTGCCTCTGCCCACCGTAGTCAAGGGGTATATCCATGGACTTGCTGTCCCGACTCCTTCCTCTAGAAAGGTGTGGGCAGGTTGCACGCACTTTGGATCAGGATCCACAAAATGCTCCAGCACTTTTTGCTTAGACTTGTTCCTTCCCCATTTCAGGGAGCAGGAAGGAATCTGGGTCAGCTGTGGCCTGAGGGGCTTTGAGAGGCTTTGTAAAACCCCTCTGGCCAAGGGCCTCTTCACACCTTCCTCTAGACGCTGGTGATGGAGAGGCAGGACGTGTGGTGGGGAGGGCAAAGACCATGAAAGAGGAGGCAGCTGGCTCTCACCCACTCTTAGTCTAGCCAGCCTGGAGGAAGGAAAGCCAGAACAGGGTTTTTTCTGGGGACACCTATCCTGTGTGTCCTTGACATTGATGGTTCCGCTACAGGATGAGGCTAGGAGTCTGGGGCAACCCCACTCGGCCTACCGTGTGCCCACACATTGTTCTGCACAGCTGAGACTTTCCTCTGCCTCTTTCTTTTGTCACACCCTCCCGCTGGGCCCAAGCCTTAGAAAAGGAAGGGAGCCAGGGAGGAAGTCAAGGGCCAGACAGCTTCGATGGTCTTGGGATGGCTTCTAGACTGGGAACCTGCTTCTCTTGTTTCCCACAGAACCAGCAAGGCCCTTTGGCTCTCTGCATTAAGGTTGTAGTGACGTAGGTCCCTTCTGAGCCAGGCTAAGATCTCATAACTTGGAGAACCAGGCTTTGGCAGAGGACAAGTCCTCCACCCAGCCTGGACAGACTCAAGAGCCCAGAAACTTAAGCACATGACCTTGCTTTTAGTGTGGCCAGGGGAGAGAATGCCAACTCTCAGCTCCCCTTCCCTGAACTTCCCTCCCTCTCTCTATCTCCAGAGCACCTCCAGGGCCACATCTTTCAGTCAAGGGCAAGACCTATAGTAAGAGACACACACACTATCTCAGCTAAGTAACCTATGTGCCTGCTTGTCTCTAAACCACTGAAATCAATGGATCGCAGAACTTACCCTTCAGCCTGCGTGCTGGTAGGTTATTTCATCCTGGCTTTCTGTTTTCTTCTTTCACTTTATGCATGTGTGCATGCATGCTCCTCTGTGTACAGGCGCATGTGTTGGGGGTGTGAGTCTCGGGTGTCACCCTCAGAAGCACTATCCAGCTCCTTTGAGACAGAGTCTCTTATTGGCCTGGAGCTCACTAATTAGACTAGCCTGACTGGCCAGTGAGCTTAAAGGCTCCCCTTGTCCCCTCCTCCTCAGTGCTGAGATTACAAGTGGATGCCAGCATCCAATGTATTTATGTGGGTCCTGGGGATCAAACTCAGGTCCCTGTGATTGATTGCAAGGCAAGCACCTTTTACTCCTGTCCTTCGTCCTTTTTGTAGAATTAATATTTATTAATTTTTATTTTATGTGTATGAGTGTTTACCTGCATTTATGAATGTGAACCATGTGTGTTCAATAGCCATGTAAGCCAGAAAAGAGCATCAGAATTCTTAGACCTGGAATTACAAATGGTTGAAAGGTACCAATGTGCGTGCTAAGAACTAAACCTGGGTCCTTTGCAAGAGTAACAAGTGTTCTCCACGGCTGAGCCATCTCTCCAGCCCTAAAACATTACCTTTTCTAATCTATCACTAGTTTTCACAATTCAGTGATAAGCCACTCACAGGCAGAGAGTCAACCCCATTGAGTCCCACATAACAGGCTCCAGCCCGACACCACTTCCTGTTCCCTACCTGCTCTCTGATGGCCCAG